TGTAGGCTCATTCCTATTAAATTGAGTGAGTAATAAGCGACGTTACAATTTTTGTGTTAAGCGTCATTATTTTTTAAAATTTTGACGTATACGCCAAGAAACTATAATTTGGAAGTATCAGTTAATGTGTATACGTCACTCATTATGCTAGGTTCTACCTTTTTGTAACGTATAAGCAGTTAGGGTAAAGGATATTAACAGGTATATTGTAATAATATTTAAAGTTATTTGTTATTACACTTATTATAGCAGTAGTCCCACGTATTGCCCATTTAACAAAACCCTAGATGTCTTATCACTTATCAATGATCAATGATGAATAAAAAGCCATTATTTTTTCGTCTAAACCAGTTCTTTCAACGATTATAAAATGCACAAAATCTACGACACTCTACTCAATATTTCACTCTCTGGGATTCAGCCGATGTTTTAATTAATTTGGACTTTGAATATTTTTTTTTAAAACTAAATAACACTTGGAAATTTTAAAGTGAATTTTGTTATTGTGAGTCTTTTAGTTTAATTTAATTTGTTCATTTAATTTTTCATATTATGGAAATAAATATCAAATTATATTTTAAGCATTAAGTCTTTTTTTTTTATTAATTTATTTTAATAATAATAAACCCAACCCAACTTAAAATTTTTATCTAACAGTAAACATTTATTGTGAGCTTTTCTTATTGGGTAATTAGTCTCGTTGATAATGTCTTTGTTTTAACAATAATNTAGTCTCGTTAATAATGTCTTTGTTTTAACAATAACCACGCCAGCAGACAACGCAGAGAAACTTACGAGTATGTTTGCAGTGTTTAATTTTTGTCTTGGTGATTATTGTGCCGCATCTTTTCAAGGCGTTAGCGCCGGGACACATTAGGCCATCACAATTCCGCCTTTTAAATAGATATAAATATTTTTGAATCTTGTTTTGACTAGGCCAGAGGAATATTTAAGAAATATTGGTGTCGATCTTTCAATAAAATATGTTCTCTCAAAAGAAAATACTTATTCAACAAACGTAAAAAAGATAATAAAGACAGGTTATAATTANAACAAACGTAAAAAAAATAATAAAGACAGGTTATAATTCTAATTCTAATAAAATATAGAGTATTTAGAATCTTCTACAAGTAAAATCAGTCATAGACTTTGTGTAATTAAATTATATTATTTAAAATTTGAATCGTTTTCGTATATAATTATATTGACTATATGACGTGTAGTGTAAATCGTATACGTTGTGTATTTAATACCTGAATCAACATTAGATTATTTGAAATATTATTGCATTACATAGGACGTAAGGTAAGTACAATTTAACCTATGATTTCAAACCACCAACAATCTATCGCGTAATGAACCATCAATAAAAATTAAACATTCCAAATATTTCCCTACAATTCAATAATCTATTATTTCCCTAATTTATTCTTTTTGTTTTTGGTTTATTATATTCAATATTTCAGAGTACTTGTGTTTTGCACTTCGTCTGCACCTCATACCTAAGTGTTACCTTTATTCCCTTCCTATAAGAACGTCTTTTTGACACAGTTAATCCGGAGTGTCAGCCGAACACGGTAACTGCTGTATGATCACACGCATGTGAATACCCAGGCAGCAAACTCAACATCATTGTCGTAAATACTTCACCTACTACAACCTCCTCTCTTGGTGTTTAATTTGTGTTACGACAATTTTGTAGCTTATATCCAAAAGCTAAGATGTCACACTAATGGGTTTAAAGGTATTTTAATAAGTTTTACATGGATAAAATATTTAAATACACATTTTTATTTCACATTAAAAAAATATTAATCATACAGTTAACTAACTATTAAGAATTACAATTGTGTAATTAAATATCTATATGTTTTATATTTTAATAAAAAATGAAATTTAACTCTTGTAGGCTACTAAAATTAATGCTTTTGAATAAAAATCTGGAATTATGTAAATTACTATTTTTTAATTTTTTTCTTTGAAATAAATGTAACATTAATAAAAAAAACTGGGAGAGCAAATTTTTGATTGGGGGTAAATAAAATTGCTTGATAATGCTGTATGTTCACCTACAGGGAAAGTTATTTGATTTAAATCTATTGTCTATTTATCATTTTAGCATTAGCTTTTAAAATATTTGTATTTGTATTAGTTTTATGAAATTTTTTTATTGAAACACTGTTTTAAGAACAAAAAAATGACGAAACCAAATTATTTTTTATTCACGTGGCTTAAAAATATTATTAGGATATGCAAATAAAATAGATGTCAAAATGAATTTATGACATTTAACAGACATACCGTTTGGTATTTTTATCCAAATAATAAGGTTGGTGGATTATTTTAAGCAATTACAAGTACAAGTAAACCGAGAGCGGCACAGAATCTACAATAAATTGAAAAATGAAATTTAAATTAACTTAAATAATAGTAATGAAATACAATTAATGATTGGATATAAGGATTAAAATTATTTATTATTTTAGATTATTTTAAATAATAGTTAAAAATATTTGTAATAAAGATCATATATCGAACTTGAATTATTATGTTTTGAGATTTTATTTAGTATATTATCACAGGCATTAAAATCGTAATATTTACCAAAGTATGTATTCTTAAATTTTGCCTTGTAGAATAATATTGTTATCAGCACATCATTGAATCTGTATAGTGTATGCTCTAAAAATTACATTTGTATTNAATGTATGCTCTAAATATTACATTTGTATTAAAAAATATATCAATTTTTTAAAAAATTTGTTAAATATTTACTCTGGTCATTAATATTTTTCTTCATATCAACTAAAGTACTTTTGAGTTTTTCATTGTTATTTTCGTTCAGTGTTACTACCTAAAATATACAAAATAGTTTATTGTTATACATTTATTAAATACCCTTATTTTTCAAGTTCCATATTTTAATAGGTACCCGGAAATTTTTTTTTTATTTGCATTTAAACAAATACCTTGTAAAATTTGAACTCTATTGGACTTTACTAACATTTGGCTCTCTAATCTTAAAGTTTTACATATAATTAAATTTATGTTGCTTTTTATTCGAAAAGATTTTTAATTGACAAAAATTTGTATAGAATTTAAAGTATTTTTAATTTATTAAAACAAGATCTCTTTATAATTTCGGAAGTTATTAATATTATATAGTGATGAGACGGATGTTGTTAGTTTTATCACTAGTCACTTCCCTGTAAATTCAAACTAACAAGTAAACTTCCATCGATAGTTGGATAATTACGAGTATTATTTTATAAGAGATTAATGACCAATATTAGCTATAATGACTACTTTTAACTACTGTTGTTATTGATGAGTGCATAATTTTTCAAGAAAAAAAAGAATCCAAAAAAAAATGCATTTATAAAAAAACCCAGCACAGTGGGGTCATGGCATAGTTGGGTCTAGTATAGATGATATCTGACAGTGATTAAAATCACTATCACAAAAAGCGCTTCGATGCAAATCTGTAGATAGTGTTTAATTTAAAAAAAAAAATTTGTCAAAAAAGTAGGTCAAATGAGAGCTGAGAAAATAAATGATAGCTACAAAAAAAAAACCACATAGTAAAATAATATTAATATGAATTTCTTCTCACGAGAGGAGACTACAGTAATGGAATCCTTGATATTTATTGAAGTTATTGAATTTAAATGAGATAAAAATCAAATGAGTTAAACTTTTTTTTTTAACTCAAAAATAATAAAAAAAAAATTCAGTGCCACAGTCGTGAAAGACCCAAGTGTTACCGTCTCAAAAACCGTACGTCTCATTCGTCTCTTAATAAAAATGGAAATTTAGCTAGTTCAAATTTTAAAGTTATTTTTCTCGACTTCAAAGTAACAAAAAAATTTAAATATGATTAATTTTTTATACTATGTCATTTAGATTGATATAATATTTATGAAAATCAGTGTAATCCCCTTATAATAAAATAAAATACACAACCAAGGATTTTAACATAATTATAGCATATTTTTAAATACGGTAGGTATTTTCACCATGTATTCTCCTATATAAGATATTTTAAAATAAAATAAAATACAAAAACTAGAATTTTAATAGAAAAATAGCATATTTTTTAATACGGTAGCCATTTGCGCATAGGTCATCGGGACAAATTTTTTTTTTTTCATTTTATAGTGCATAAAATAAGCTTTAATTTGATATATGTTTAAAGGACGCCGTATTTCCGGAACATTTTCAAAAATTAAGTTGAATAAGTTAGTTTTTGTAAAAAAGTTGCTATTTTAAATCCCCTTTGTGAGCAGAATAAGTGTTAGATTTTCAAAAAAATGATATCAAATGAAACGGAAATATCTAAGGCTAATTTTCAATAGCCTTAATAACAGTGCTACTTTTGTAATTGAAGAACAATTTTTATTACGATCTGTTTATTATTTTTCTTTCTCTTGTTCCCTTTAATTTGTAGGCGAGGTTTTTTGCCTCGTATTTATTTAATTTTTTTTTTAAAACTTCCTCTTATTTAATAGGATATAAAGTTTAATTTTAACAACTCATAAAGTTATCACCCTAATTAAATTTTATAATGACTATTCTCATTATGATATTNAATTAAATTTTATAATGACTATTCTCATTATGATATTGAAAACATGTAATAAAGTTTTACTAAATTTTCGAATATTATTCCTAAAATCCACACTTAGGAATAGTTTTTTAGCTTCCAAGCAAAGTTGAGAAGGT